AAGTTTCTTTGCAGACGCATCGACAAAAATACGGGAATCGGACAAGACATTCGTAAATTACCGCTCCGTCGCACGCGGCGTGCCGTGCGGCGACCCGCTGCACGTTTTTCAGAAATCTCAGTTTTAAATGGAGCAGCGAATCTCTATAAATTCATGGGGATTCAAAACCCTATTGTAGGCGATATCGGATTTCCCGTCCATTTGACAGACAAATTTTACCGCTGGGAAGGACAACTCGTTCGCAGGGTGTAACGGCGCTCGCCACGCCCACCAGCGCGCCACACCCATGTTACGATTGTCTTGTCGCCTCAAATTTACAGATGGAACATTCGCTTTGCTTGTTTCTGCCACATTTAACCATATTACATTAATACGATTTCAAGTATGCATGAAACAATTAGAGCAAGCTCACCTTCGTCCATCTACAAGCCTCCCGTTCAGCATTTTGACGGCCATATCCGAAGAATCCGTTGTTTCGAATGTTACTGTAACTACGCCTTCTGGGTTGTTCTGGAAGAAATTACAATAAAACTCAGTGCACTGTGATCAAAATGATAAAAACAGACAAATAGAACTCACATCATAAACGACCACTTTCTTCACAACACCATATTTAGAGCAACTTTGTTGGACTTCCTCTTTCAGATCCAATAATAATGCTGCATTTCTCTGCATAATATGGATCGATAAATTAAGAAGGCAGCAAAAAGTTAATAATTCTGCAAAAACAAAACAACCTCCATCATCTCCAAAGTGAACAAATTTTTGATAACCACAGTGCAATCAGAGAGGGGACGGTAGTTACGTGGTTTTTCAGGTCTCCACTCGAAAATTCTATAAAATTTGCTTGGATTTTAGCATTCAAATTTTTCAACAAGTGTTTGACTCTCAAGGCAAAACTGAAACCCTACTTATTTTGATTTTCCATATATCTCTTCTTCTGAGCGCTGGTGAGCTTCTTCCGTTTCTTTGATGGATCAAATTCTCCTTTGAGTTCAAAACGAGCCTTTTCTACATGAACCTCCTTTCCTTTCAACATATAACCATCAAGAATTGAGAGCGCCAAGTCCACAGATTCCTGAATTCACAGAAAAATAAACGGAACAGTTTGTTGGCTTTGTGGGGGCAAGCGGTATTCAGCAAAGCCACCATGTGAAGACCTCTCAATTTATGTAACTAAAAATGACTCATCCGTTCTAAACTGCAGCTTCACAAATGTTTACAGGTCTCAACAAAATAAGCCTGTTAGCCACTATGAATCTGCAAAAGAATCTAGCGGAAGTGCAAAGTGCCCCTCCCAAGTCGGAGAGCGCCAGCTAAACAATGCGTAAAACTACACGTAGCCATTGAACTTAACCGTGCACAATGCTTGCAAT